TAGTATAACAGTTCATAGACCCATCCATTTACCTGCAAATTTCATTATTTCATCTTTCTTACTGCTGAATAGAACTCCATTGTGTAAATATACCACATTTTTTAAAACCACTCATCAGTTGAGAGACACTTAGGTTGCTTCCATCTCTTAGCTATTGCAGCAACAAACATGGTTGTACAAGTGTCTCTACAATAGGATGAGTCCTTTGGGTCTATGCCAAGGAGTGGTATAACTGTTCAGGTCATATGGTAGGTTCAGTTTTAGTTTTTTAAGATTTCTCCACACTGCTTTGGACAGGGGTTGAAGAAGTTTGCCACAGCACCAGAAGTGGATGAGCTGTCCCCCTTCCCCACGTGCTCTGCAACCTCTGGTATCATTTGTTCTCTCGATCTTAGACAGTTTGAGTGAGGTCAGATGAAATCTCAGTGGTTTTTATTTTGTCTTTCCATAATCACTAATGAGGATGAACACCTTTTATGATGGTTCTTAGCCATTTTCATTACTTCCTTAGAGAACTCTCTGTCCATCTCCTTGGTCCATCTTGTGATTGGGTTACTTCCTTTCTTGATTTCTGGTTTTTTGAGCCTTTACATATTGTGGGGGTTAAAACTGTGAGATGTGTCACTGGTGAAGATTTTCTGCCACTCTCTGGGTTTTCTCTTTACTTTCATGGTTGCTTGTATTGATGAACAAAAGCTTTTTTTGGTTTTGTTTAATGGGGTCCCATTGTTGATTTTTGGCCATATTTCCTGCGCAATTGATATCAGTTTAGAAAATGCTTTCCTACCCCCGTCTCTTGCAGATTATAGCCAGTGTGTTCTTCTGACAGTTGCAAAGTATATCAGCTGAAATTGTATGTACTCAGGTTTGGCTCTTCAATGATGTTCCATGGATTTATGTGTCTGTTTTTGCACCAGTACCATGCTGTTTTTATGACTATGGCTCTGTAGTATACTTTGAGATCTGGTATAGTAATCCCCAGCGTTGCTCTTTGTACTCGGGGCTACTTTGGCTATCCGGGGTCTTTTGTGCTTCCGTAAGAGTTTAAGGATGGATTTTTCTAATTCTGTGAAGTATGTCATGGGAATTTTGATTAGGATTGCATTGAATCTATATATTGCTTTTGGTAGGATGCTCATTTTTTTTTTTTTTTTTGAAATGATTTCT